AAATTGGTGTTTGTCATTTAAATTTGTCAATAATTTTTTTTTAAAAAATATTTAAATTATAACATATTTAAATATATGATAAATTATTTATATGAGATATCTTAGATTTCAATTTTGGAAAAATAATTATACGTATTCTCAAATGTTCATTTATTTTATATAAAAATAAAAAGCTAACTTAATTACCTATTATATATAATAATAAACTGATTATTTTATCTTTTATGTCTCACATTAGTTTTTTTTCTCTTTATCTTGGATTAATAAGTGATATTCCTCTAAAGATTTTCAATGAAAAATATCTACTAAAAATATTTTATCATCTGATTATATGCTCAATTTTAATAAGCTAAATTTAACGGTCTAAATAAAATTTGTCGAAAAAGTTAAAAGGAATATCAGTTATTAACCCTGGGTAGAAAGAAAAAAAACTAATATGAAACATAAAGATAAAATAATCATTAGATAATTGGGACTCTAAAATTTTGTTTTATATTCTATTTTGTTAAATTTTTCATAAAGATATTCTCAATCATCTCCAATAATGATTTTATTTCCTTCCTTTATACTTTACCAAAATATTTATCCTCTTTGCTTTTACTTTTTTTTTCCTTTTTTGTATTTTTAAAGCAGGATTAAAACTTGATAACTGGTTAATTCATTACTTAATTTCAATAATGGCATGAAATATTCATTTCATTTACTGATTTAACAACTAAATGTGGCATGCAAAAGCATTTTTAAAAATTCATTTTTCAAATTAACGTGATTCATAAATTTATTTTTCTCATTCAATTTACTCTAGCATGACTTTTAAATTGTATTTCATTTTCATACTTGATTTTAATGCAAGATCTAACATAAATAGTTTTCTATCTTAACATAATAAGGATAATATTGTGTACCATATGCACTATCTTTTGAATACACCACTTATAAAATTATATTGAATATATGTGTTGATGTAAAAGTTTTTAAATTTATACTAATAAAATTAAAGACGTAAAACACATGTAGCTTACGTGAAAATATATATATACTTCTATTTTATATGACATAAGACAAAATCAGTAAATAATTTAAAGTATATATCTTATATTTAAAATGGATAAGGATAATTTCTAGAAGGTCATACAAATCTTGTAAATTTACTAGTAGCTTCCACTCCAATGAGAAAAAAGATTTATGTTCACATGAGGAATTTTTATTATTTTTATTTTTATTATATTTTTTTGGTGCTTAGTTGCTAAGTTAAGACTCTTTTATACACTTGTGAGCTGTGACGTGGAATAACACGTGTTATTTATGTGTTGTCACATGAAACAACAAGGTTGATGTGGTGTGGGCCTTTTAAATTAGGTGGCTTTGTATTTTCGGAAAAAAATGACATAATAATACTTTTTATTTTTCCCCAGTTTTTTTCGCAAAATTGTTTCAACCAAATGTCATTAAAAAAAGTATTTTTATTTTATTTTTGCAAAAAATGGAAAATTACATCTTCAAATTGGTAAGTCAAAAATTCTAAAAGTAAAAATAAAAAGGTTTGGAGAAAAATTCCAACAATTTGAAAAGATAAAAAGGAGGGGAAAATTTTGTCTAGCATTCAAATTTATGAAAAATAGTGAGATTTTACTTGATTTGGTAGCAATATTTTAGCTCCATAACAGAGTGGAAAACACAATATGAAATACATTGTATATCTTATACATTATAAGTGTATAAGTGTGTATATAATTTTATGTAGCGCAATATATTATATCCCCGCACAAAATAATAGTACAATATATTATATTTATATGCTTAATAAGTGTATCGGCACATGATTGTATCCTTGTGTATCTCCACATGATATACATTATATATGTCTATTTGTATTCACCCGCTTAATAAGTATATCCACACATCTAATAATATCCTTGTGTATATGTTGTAAAACTCTAAACAAACGTTATATCATTAAAAAAAGAACAAGAATTTTTTTCCCGCAAAAATCGTAAAATTTCATTGCAAATAGTCTCAAAAAGGAATAAAATGTTTTCCAAAAAATAGTTCCAACAATTTGAAAAGAAATAAAAAGGACGTCTTTTGGGCTTTGGTTAATGGGCCCACTAGTTTGGACCTAGACCCGTTTGATCTCTGGGCTTGTTCGCCTCTTCAACACCGATGAGTGATGACCATATACATGGATTTCTATTTAGAGAAAATTGTATGAAATAACAAACTATTAATTCAAATTAAATGTTATAGTTATAGTTCATTTTATTTTTAATTCAAGCAAGCATTCCATTTTTTTGTCATCTGGTTCGGTATATAATTAGTCATTTTCGGTATACAATTACTCATTCGATATACAAATGTATAAAATACGTTTGTGTTTGTATAAAGTGAGAGAAAAGTGTATATACAAATACAAATACATATATTTTTGTTCTACACTTATAATTATACAAATACAGATCGTATTATACAAATTACAATGTATAAATGAATTTATACAAAACTGAACAATTTGTATAAAATTGGATGTATCTAGCGAATTATACAAATCAAAAGTTTCGTAGCAAATATAAATTTTGCTATGGAGTGCAATTATGCAAACTATAGCTATAACATACAAATATGATTTTTATGTTTGTTATATGTGAAAGTTGCTCATTTATTTATGACGGGTCATCTGTCTCTACATGATAAGAAATAATAATCTCGAGATAATTAATTTCATATTCAATTCATGTTATAACTTTGTTTGTTTCATCTTTCATACAAAATCGACTTTAGTAAACGGTCAGTACATAGTTTAAATTTGATTAACAAATGTCATGTTTTGCTAAGTTATTTTGTTATTGAAGGATCTCTTGTTAAGTTATTTTCATGTCTACTTTTACTATCCTATTTTTTTTATTTGTTTAAATATTAATCCACTTATGACCAAAAAGACCTAATTAATAAGAATTTTGCAAAATATAATAATTATCTTAGACTATTTTCACGTCAAAATAAAAAAGGAAAATGTTGAGTCTTATAGTGCATACACAAATTCATATAATACCCATGACGTAATTTAAAAGACATATTATCGTTGCAAAGAAGAAGAAGTCTCAAATTAATTTCATTGAATAAGTCATGAATAGCATATCTTACAAAATCATTGGTGGGTGGGGAACCTGTCAAATAGTCAATGCCTTGGAAAACTATTTTATCAAATATTCAATCTAATTAAACAGGAACTTAATATATTATGGGATATTTTTATCTTCAATTTTCTTTTCTTTATACTTTCAAAAACCTGCAAAATCTGATGACTCCTCACCTCTATTTAATTTTCTATCGTGTGGTATTCGAGTCAGATTATATCACGTGATATTCAAATCATATTGTAAATATACTTTAATTGTTTCACTTAATATCAAGATGTAACGAACATGAACATACTTTAATTTAATTTATTGATAGTTTAGTTTGCTTCGTTGAAGTGAAATGTCAAAATATTTATCATGTAAATTTTAAATTAATTAGGTCATGCAATGAAAAATTAGGAAGGAAACTTTGAATCAATGGTAAAGTTATGTTATCGTTGTAGGACCTACATATAGTTCATGAGTTCAATTCGTGTAATCAGTCATTAATGTTTATGTCGAGATAGACGATTAACATCACACCCTTTCGGAATGAGACCGGTCTATGATCCTGCATATGTTGGGTCCCAAATGGTCCTTTTATGCAATGAAAAGTTCGCAAACCTTGAATTTTTTTCTCATTGAATGAGGAAATAGACAGGTAATTGCTCCATTTGACTTTAATATAAGAAGATCTTAAATCACGATTAATCGACTTTTATACCAACAAAAAAAAAACTCAAACTAGTTGTGGATATACGCAGATCCACCTTAGGCGGAAAGAGGTCTGGTGTACATTTTTTTTGAAAAATTATGTGATATATAGAAATTAAATGTTAGTTATTATGAAGACATATTTAATTTTGCACACCCTTAATACAATAGAGAAAAAAATATATATTTCACCAAATTTCTAATTCCGCGATCGATTGCAAATACTTAATATACTTACATGTTTACCTTGTTCATTAATATATATATTACAGGACAAATAACATTATAATTATTCGATATTCAATATCTACGCTTAAAAAATGAATACTAAAGTCATTAATTGATTTTAATAAAAGAAGTAGTTGAGAGTTTAGGAAGGCCTCCAAAGAAGATACTTTACTATTGAATGCTCCTAGTCTACAAGTTGTTCATAGTAGTAAATTTTTCTTTATTAAAAAACTAGGTAAATTACAAGTTTTATATTTTCTTTATTAAAAAGCAATATAGATTCTAATACAAACATCAATAGTTACTCCAAAACTCTTCTTTTTAAAGATAATAAAAACTCAATAAGTGTGATATCTACGATGACTTCTACCTGTTTTCAAATCAGATAGTATATAAAAATTATATTTAAAATATATTTATAGGTAGAAGATACGTCTTATCTGATGAAATGATGAAATAGAGAAGAATTGAAATTTTAGATCAATCCAAAAACAAATTGGAAGAATCCAAGGTCTTGGGGTCAGCGATCTGCCAACCACATTTAATTAAGGAAAATAGATCTCTCGTTATGAAATTGACTCATATATACAAATGACTTATGTATACTCTTTTCCTCCAACGAAAGTGAAAAAATAGGGACAAATGGAATATGACCTAGAGGATGGAGTATCTTATGTTTATTATTTTATAAATAAACGTGTAATGACCTAAAATCACATTTATTTTGGTACAGAGGTAAGGAAGTACTCATTGTTGTGACTATAAACAAGTACACCAAACACCCCTTTAATGTCACATTTCTTGTTTGGTCTTGTGAATTTAAGTCTGCAACTGTCACAAAAAGTATACTACTACTATATTAATGGGTTGCATTTATCGCCACTTTTTTTTAATACTATTTTCTTGCTTAGCAAATATTACTATATTTAGGCGGATTCTCCAAATCCCATGTGCAATTAAAATTTTAAACTTTGTTATTTACTCCATTTTCTTGGATCTCTCTATGACTTGTCTTTTTCTAATTTCCTATATATCTACCAACATGTTATGTTGAATTAAAAGGAAAAAAAAACAAGAAGATTTAGTTTTTTTGTGTTTGAGAAAATGAGTAGTATTACTTATTCTAATTTGATATTGAAGAAGAGAGAATCAAGAATCAATGGTGGATCTCATTTACAATATAATGGACTTAGAGCTATTGAAACTGTGAAATTGACAGCAAACTCTGCTTCTTGTAAGTCAAAAGGTATTATATGATATTCTTGATTATTTTTTTTATGGTATATTAGTAGACAGAAGAGACAGATTCAAGATTTGAAGTTACAAGTTTGGAAATGAGTGTGATGTTTGTGTGTTAGATGTACATTTTAAGTTTTTTTTTTAGATGTATGTATAGTTCGAGTTGAAAGTAATAGATTCAGTTGAGCACACAAAATCCGGTCTTTGTTTATAGAACTAGATACGTAGGGAAATCTTAGTAGCTCAGTTGGTTAATTTAGTTACTGAATCCCACCTTGTTAATGAAAGTTTGATTCTTCACCTTATAAAAATGGAGTATGATATTGCCTAACTCTGTGGAGAAAATGTGGGAATATGATGTATGTGTATCGGAAACAACGTCTCTACCTTAGACAAGGTTGGGGTAAGATCTGCGTACACTTCATCCTCGACAAATCCTACTTGTGGGATCATACTAAATATGTTGTTGTTGATGATGTTTCTTTGAATATACTGCTGGATCTTTTAGTGATTTACTGTTTCTGAATACACTGTGTGGGACTTGTCATGTGTTCGAGCTGTGGAATCAGCCACTGATGCTTGTATCAGAATAGGCTGCCTACATTGCATCCCTTGGAGTGAGGCTCTTCACCGAGCCCTGCGTGAACGTGGGATCCTTCACCCCTTTGGTTTTACTGATGATATCTTTCCCTTGCATTTGTATTTCCAGTCTATTAACTTTCGTTCTGATAATAGTTCATGAATAATGTAACTTCATTTCTCAGCTGGATGTTTGTTTTGGATGTGTTCGATACGAAGGAAAATGTTATCTTAAAAGTATTTGTATATATTCTGGACAGATACTGTGAGAGGTGGGAGTGGAGTAGCGGTGTGAGGTGGTGGGGATGGGGCTACGGGTGCGGGGTGGGGTGTTGGAAGGTGGGGAGGACACAACAGTGTAGAATGTCACTTGTGAAACTTGTTTCCTCTACTTCTACTTGTCGAACACACCCTTTGTGTTGATGTTGGATTTTTCTTATTATCATAGTGTTGTGCTTCTTACTTCTTAGTTTTCCGTTTTATTATGAGAATAAACATTGTGGCAAAGTTTGGTTTGTGCCAATGTTCTGTGATCTTATCGCGAATGATTCTAATCTACTGAGCTGTTTTATCATAGCTGTAAAATGTGGAAGAATCAGAGCCATGGCTTCTCCAGCTGTTTCAGCTCCCAAGAGAGAGACGGACCCGAAGAAAAGGGTTGTCATAACCGGAATGGGACTTGTTTCAGTCTTTGGAAGTGATATCGACAATTTTTACAACAAACTTCTTGAAGGACAGAGTGGAATCAGTTTAATAGACTCTTTTGATGCCTCAAATTACTCAGTTAGGTTCGCGGGACAGATTCGTGATTTCTCTTCCGAAGGTTACATAGATGGAAAGAATGATCGTCGTTTAGATAGCTGCTGGAGATACTGTCTCGTTGCTGGAAAGAGAGCCCTTGACGATGCTAACCTTGGCCAACAAGTTCTTGAAACTGTGAGTTTATTTATTGGTAGTAAGAAAAATTTGAGCTGTAAATGATCAAAAGCATAAAATGTGACTTGAATTTGTGTGTTGCAGATGGACAAAACGAGGATCGGTGTCTTGGTTGGGTCGGGGATGGGAGGTGTAAAGGTTTTCAGTGACGGGGTGGAAGCGTTGTTGCAAAGAGGATACAAGAAAATAAGTCCATTTTTCATTCCTTACTCAATCACCAACATGGGATCAGCATTGTTGGCTATAGAAACCGGACTAATGGGACCGAATTACTCCATTTCAACGGCTTGTGCAACTGCCAATCACAGCTTCTGTGCCGCTGCAAATCATATAAGAAGGGGTGATGCAGATATTATGGTAGCAGGTGGCACGGAAGCTGGGGTTACAGCTGCTAGTGTTGGTGGCTTCATAGCTTGTCGGGCCTTGTCTCAAAGAAATGATGATTATGAAAAGGCTTCAAGGCCATGGGACACGAATCGTGATGGATTTGTCGTTGGTGAAGGCTCTGGTATCCTGGTATACAGATCAATTCGACTACTTTTTCTTTTGCTTTGGCTCTTATCTTATGTCATTTGTTCAATATCATCGGTTAGTGACTTGATTGAGTTATTTCCACACAAACAGGTCATGGAAAGTTTGGAGCACGCGTTGAAAAGAGGTGCTAATATCATCGCAGAGTACTTGGGAGGAGCAGTTACTTGTGATGCTCATCACATGACCGATCCTCGCCCTGATGGACTTGGAGTTTCGTCTTGCATTACTAAGGGTTTGTTAGATGCCAGAATTTCTCCAGAAGAGGTAACACTGTTTGTTCATTTTCAGATCGAAAATGTCATAAACTATGTATATACTGTTATAATACATATTGTTATATTAACTCTGAATAGGTGAACTATATAAATGCTCATGCAACATCAACTCTTGCTGGAGATTTGGCTGAGGTCAATGCCATCAAGAAGGTCTTCAAAGATACCTCGGAAATCAAAATGAACGGGACAAAGGTGAAAACAACGTTTATCTTCCTTACGATGACTAACTACATAACTATCATATAAATGTTAGTCTATTCTACCAATAGACTCGAAATTCATTTCAAACTAGAACGAAAACAAAACAATCTGTTCTTCTTACAAGACCTATATACTATCGTTAGCTGGTTTAAACGTTATTCTGCTGTTATTTGAAGCTCATTTGATTCGTATATTTGAATGGCAAACGAGTACTTAAGTACTGAATCAAGTTATGTTTTCTGTTGTTACTTATTAGTCGATGATCGGTCATGGACTTGGGGCTGCTGGTGGAATTGAAGCCATTGCAACCATCAAGGCAATCAAAACAGGATGGCTTCATCCAACCATCAATCAATATGTACTACTCACTAACTTCTCTGTTTTAACACGTTCTGATTCTCTGATATCTCAACTGTTCTTTAACCATTCCGAGACTTATTTCACTCTTCTTCGTTTGCAGGAATTAGAACCCCAGGTCACGATTGACACCGTTCCAAATGTGAAGAAACAACATGAAGTGAATGTTGGTATGTCTGTTTATCCTGAATCCTAATGCACAGTTCTCACTTGACAAAGTTGGCTAATAGTACTTTCTCCGTTGCATGAGCATTTTTGTACACTCTACGTATCTTTAATTTATGACCACAAGATTCAAAAGTCTTATTTGCTTTCTTGAACTCCGTATCAAGTTAAAATCAGACAAACAAATTAAAGCGGAGGGAGTAGTAATAAAGTACCCATAAAACAATGAAAGAATGAGAAGAAATGAAAGGCAGATCACTTATAGACAGATAGAATGTTGTTCCAACTTTTCAAAAATGCATTGTTGGAGGATCCGACAGAGAGTGTAACAACATTTTTGAAGAGTCCGAGCAACATAGATAATCAATCACAGTACCCTCATTTCATCTTTTTTTTTGCAGGCATCTCCAACTCGTTCGGATTCGGAGGACATAATTCAGTGGTTGTTTTTGCACCCTACAAGCCTTGAACAATAGTTTAAGACAAACTGTTTGGAAAAGTTCATAATTTTCTCAAATTTTATTCAAAATGTAAGCTATGAAATATAGTTCAAAACTTAGATAGATTGTTTTGTTTTTTTTACCCACAGCAAATGTCAGATTGATGAATAAGGAATTATTTCATCTTGTGAAAAATTATGTGTTTTATCAATAAGCTTCTCAATCATAATATCATTGACGAATTAGTCGACAAGAAGAGGTTGCTCGGATGGTAAACACTTTCTACTTCCAACCCTGAGGTTGCGAGTTAATCTGAGCATTCAACTTAAAATCTTCGGATACTTTTATATGTCTTTGTGGCATATATATGTTATACTAATAAAAGTATTATAACAATATTAAATATATAGATTATGTATGCTTTATACAAAATATACATATATTATACATATCTATATACAACATAGACACTATATGGTGTATATTTCGATCATATTGACAAACTATATGGTGTATATTTCAATCATGTTGATAAACTAGTCAGTGAAACGGTATATATTATAGCTTTCAATAATATTCCAACTGGAATGATCATATATTATGGCTGTGGGCTTATATCCTATTTTTACCGGACTGACCCAAAAAAATGTGGGCTTGGGCTTTTGTGGTTTAACTCATATTTATGTTCTTTTAACTCAAATATTTTCAAATAAATATTTTTTATTTGTTATATTATATTTAGCCACCATATAGAATTTTTTGTTAGTTCTATTAGGTATTAATTTTTTTTTTAAAATAAATAAATCTAAAACTTAGCAAGACTTGTACCGACCGGGTTATGACATACATTTTAGCTCATCCATTTCAATTTTAAGTAATTTTTAAACGGATCAATAATCTATTAATTTATTTACTCAGTATATTTTAATCCGCCTAAATGCAACCTAACTCAATCATTTTGCAAACTTAAACTCAAACTTAAATTAGCAAAAAAGAACCAGTATGTTTTTTTTTTTGTGGCCAGTGAATTAAACATTACATGGTTTATACGTCATCATCCTCTTTATAATTTGCACAAGTTGCTAGTAGCTAGCTAAGCTAGCAATTTATTTAAGCCAAAGCTTCAATTATCATGCCTTTTCACATATTTATATAATTATATTCAGTTGCTTCTCATCCAATATTCAGTATCCATATTGTGTCTCAGCTAATCTAGACTCACGTCATATAAAGAAAGCACTCACTATCAAAAAGTTTCTTCAAGACTCGAACTTTAATTTATATCTCTAATTAACGGTGGAAGGTTTCACTTAATCATGTTTCACTTTTTCAATTTATATGAAAAAATTATACTTATATTCTAGTAGAATATCAATCCACTTATCAATGTATTAGCCAAAGAAAAATTATCAATCCACTTATCAAACAAAAAATATATGTGTTATGATTAGGTAAATGACATATCAATTATACTTTTGTAGAAAAATCCAAATATATAAGGTCCTTTCAAGTTCATCTACCACAAACTTTTCTTGAACAAGAGAACAAAACATTGGTTTAATGTTGGAATATAACTTGAGATTATTCTTAATCCTAATCATTTTTTAGTATTTAATGTTGATTAAAATAGGAAGAATATTTACGTCAAATTCTTGCTAATAGAAAATTCTAATTGTCACTATTTTTGCCACTTCCTAATGTCTGGGAAAGTTTTCCCAATTTAGTTATAGTAAATTATTGCATCTTAATTCCTTGTGCTCCATGAGTTAGTATATATATGTTGTTAATCATCTAAGCTAATATTAATTTTAACCTTTGGTATGTTTAATTGGAAGAATATTAACGTTCTTACTTATTTTCAGATGTTTGATAAATATAGACAATCGCTTATGGGATGACACTGGGTGTTGGTGTAGGATGGGAATAAGGTAGGGGTCAAGGTCGAGTGGAATGGTGGGATGGATAGTAGACATTCAACTTGGAATATTAACTATAGAACTTATTTTCCCAAAATATTTATTGGGAAGTCAATTTTTAAGAAACGTATCTTCATAGAGAAAATATTTTTTCGACGACATTTTTACAATTCAAACAAGGAAAGGTTAGAAAATAGTTTCCTCTATACCTACCACACCATTAATATAAATTAGAATGATCTCATCAAGGACTATATGGGTCAAAAGGATAAATAGGTTTAAAATGTATTTTAGTATTTTATTTATTAATCTCCTTTTAAGGAAGCTTCATTGAAGATCACAAGAAAGAAAAGCACAAGATCCAACTTCCAAATGATATTGTGGAATGCTTTAATTGTTGCCATATTGACCTAATTTGAGCACTAATCTTGACTCTACATGGGGAGTTTTTGTCCACTAATCATAGGATTCTAACATGGTTTTTTGACTATGATCCTTTGTTTCTTCTATATTGTATACCATCTTTATACATTTTCTTCCTCTCTAGTTTACAAGATTAGAACATTAATCAAATTTCTTTCAAAACAACAACTAAAATCTTGAAAATAATTTGGGAGATATACCCTTGAACTAAGAAGATGAGAATCGTTTTAACTAGTCAGATCAATACAAATTCTGAACATCAGAAGAATTTTAGTAAGATTTGTTCATCTAAACACTATGGAATCTCTAGACATCTCTCAAACTTTTGTGGAATCTTTGGGGATAGGTAGGGTAGGCCTAATTAATCCCCTCCCCTCCATCTTCTCTACAAGTCTAGGTTAAGTCGATGATGTTGAACCTGATGACAAAATAAGAAAAACTAAAATTATAGTTTGAAGATTATCGATTGTCACATAAACTTGTTCTCGAGCCGAAAATCTCATTATTGATCAAGGAAAATCCGATTTATTGAAAATTGAGAAATCGATTGAATCAAATCCAATCTTCAATAAATACTAACAATATATTGGTGGCTAAGAAAATTGACTATCATAGGATATACTACAAAAATCAATTTAACATACGTTGTATATTGTAATAAATAAAGTAACATAGTTGGAGGGCCCATAAGGAACATGTCACAAATCAAATTCTTAGTCAGATTATAGGAATAAGTCCCTTTCAATCTTCCATATATATATATATATAACTAGATATGGGACCCCGTGCCAGCACGGGGCCCAATATATATTACTGTTACTGTTTCTGTTTTAATTTATGTGGTACATATGAACTTTGAAGTTAATCAATTTTTTAGTACGTTTTTATATATTTTAAGTTGCTAATTATTTTTATTTAGAGTATGTTTTATGTAAATATATTATAAATCACAAAAAATAACAAGTTAATTTTTTAAAAAAAACTTATAAAAAATTCATTGACTTTTGAAATTTCATTTGTATCACATAAATCAGGACAAAGCGAGTAATATATATATGAAAATGACATAAAACGTACTATAACTCACAATCATTAGCAACTTAAAATATCTATATATCTATATTTCTCCCAATTTATGTAGTATAGATGAAATTTTGAAAGTTAACAAAAACTTTTTATATGTTTTCAAATATTTTAAGCTATTAATTATTATAATTTATAATACTTTTTACATAAAAAATTTATTTATATAAAGTATAAAAGAAATTTTTTTTAAAGAGGAAACATAAATGTTAGCAGGAGTCCAATCTATGTTAATTTCTATGTTTTAATTATTGTAATACCGATTGAATTTGGAGAGCCAACTAAATTTTTTTAAAGGATTTTTTTTAATAAATTTTAAGTTGTTAATTATTATAATTTATAATATTTTTATTAATTTTAAACCAATATATGTTTTTCTCTATCTCAATTACATGAGACATATGGAATTTGGAGAGTCAACTAAAATTTTAAAATATGTTAAGTTGTTAATTATTATACCTTATAGTACTATTACGTGATTTTCAAATAAAATATGTAATTTTTTTATTTCATTTATATGTCATTGATATAATTACATATATTGAGTAATGAAGAATTAATGTCTAAATTATGTGACACCTATGAATTTTGGAGTGTAAATCAAATTAGTTATATGATTTTAAAAAAATAAAGCGGTTAATTATTACAATTTATAATACTTTTTATATATTTTTTAAATGATATATATATATATATATCTTTATGATATTGATATTAGTATTATATTAAATTAAATTTTATTATTTTTAAATTTATGATCTCAATTGTCAGCCTATGCCACATTATAAAATGTTCCAAAGTAGATATCAGATTTACAAAAATGTGGATGCCAACTAAAGTAATAAAATAACATCTAAGGGCATGAACCTATATATGTATATATAAAGCTGAATATAGACAATCTAATGTGACATCTCTCTATGACCAGTATTTCTATTCATCTTTTTTCTCCTTTTTTTGACATTTTATCTTTGTTTTGTATTTCTTATTTCTATTTTTTTTAAAAATTATTTATATCATACCTGATTAATTATGCCCTTTATAACATCCAATACACTAATATAGATTTAAGTTAATGAAAATGGAAGATGAAAAGATAAAAACTATTCATTTTTCATAACTGTTTATAATTATTTAGTCTATAAAATAAAAAAAAATAGTTGACCATTTGTAACAAATAAGAACAAATTTCTTCACTTTGGCTCTTCTTCTTCTGACGATGATGATGATCAATATATGGTATCAACTTCTGTGGCTAAGATGTCCATCAAATTTCTAGGTCATGTGACTTTTTTAACCAAAGAGAAAGAGAGAATATCTCATGATTCTTGTGAAGACATTGATGTAAAGAAAGAGATTATGTAACAAAAAGTTCTTTTCAAAATAAAAGACTTTTTGAAAAAATGTTTATTCCTCCTACAAGGAAAGAAAATTCATTGTGGTTGACAAATTTATAAGAAGGCTGATTAGTGTTTCAAAGGGTAAGAAAAATATTTGGAGAAAAAATCATTCTATTTATGGAATTCGTATCAAATTAGGAGGAGAACAAGCAAAAAATTATTTTGTGATTTGAAAAGAGAGAAAATTAGATATTATTTCTTTCAACCTCATTATTCTTCTAATTTCTTTCTTCTTTTATTTTGTCTTGATTTTTTGTATCTTTAAAGTTTTTTTTTCTTATTTATCTTTAATTAAAGTTTATATATATTTTCTTAAAAAAGAATTTAAAAAGATGATCATATTTAGTTCCTTTCCTCATCAATGCTA